AATGAAGTGCGAAAAAGAGCTAAAATTATCTTGGCATGCTTAAGTTACATCAGATTCTCGAGAGTAGGTGGAGATCTACTGACTCAGATAGGCTGAAGACACTGTCTGTCTTACTGATGAATTGAAGCAACAACTCTGTGATCCTGCAGAAATCAGTGTCTTGCTCCAGCATTGTGCTTAAACAGGGCTTGTTGCTGAGCCATGCCAACTCTGTACTAATACAGAATCCAAGCAGAAGGTATCCTATCACACCCAAGTATCTCCAGTTGCTACTGGGGACTGTTCTATCACCCCAAATATCTCCAGTTGCTACTGGAGACTGTATTGTCTTGTGTGGGTGAGCATGACCGAAGAAGAGAAGCAGAGCTTTATTAAGAAAACCATCACAGCCCTGTAAGTCTTTGCATAGCCTTAGAGAGTTAAGATCTGAAACCTTTTCTGAGGCTAAGACAGGAGGGGGCAATCCAAGAAAATCAAATATAAACACTCGGGCTGAATGCACCTATTGAATTTAATGCTGGCCCTAGTCTTCCTTTCTACAACAGAAATTTGAAAATGAAACTCCACCTTTCTATACTTCATCCTTACAAGAAGTACAGGTTTGGCCCTTGCCCAAAACATCAACCCCACCATGGCAACATAAAAACCCGAAAGGAAAATTATGTGATCAAAAATGCTCATCCTGGGCTGTGAAAAGGGGGAGCCTGGATTTCAGGTAAGTCACTGGGTTCCAGAAGAAAAATTGTCACTGAAGACAAGCCTCAGGTATTGAGTGTGAAGGCAGGTTCTACACACACCAAGGCACATAGAGAGGAGAAAATAAATGAGAAAAATTAATGAACTTAAGGAAAATATAGGATACAAAAAGAAATAGAAAACAGTGAGAGTTGCACAAGAAGTGAGAAAACAACAAGCTGCTGATTTTCTCAGCTGGGAGAGGACAGAGAGCAGAAGACACCAGGTCAGATAAGTGGTGGGGGTAGGAGAGCAGCCCATGAGCTCACTTTCTGAGCACAGCCAGTGAAAAAGTCTCCAATCTTCACTGCTTGAGGTCCACAGTCATGAGAAGTGTGAATGTGCATATATATGGACAATCACTTGAGAAGAAGCCCACAAGCCAGCTTTTCTCCCTTCATTAGCATAGATTTAAGGGCAAAGCAGTTTGAGTTACGGTCTCATTACTGAGATTTAATTACTTTTCCTAAATGTTCTGCAGAACATTTACTTGTACATTGCAAAGTATTACAGTATAGTCAGAACTTAGGCTTTCAATTACAGGAGAACTAGGCAGGAAAGAAGCTGAGTTAATTAGAATCACTGAAGCTTAATCAATTCTTCTGTGTATGCAAGGAAGAGCATGCCAACTTTTAGTCCATTTGTGAAGCCACCTTACCTGTCTTGCTATAGGTTATTAAAGATTTCATGCAAAGGTGAAAAGTCAATGGCTGATATTTTAAAATGGCTGTTATTTTGCTTTTTTTTACATTGGGCTAGACTCTTTTTGCTTCAATCCCATTTTTGGCAGACTAAATGTTTTTGTGTCTGAGACTGTTTCTGACTGCACATCCTTAAGAAGTACTTTCTTTCTGAAAGCAAAGTGCTTTCATTTGGAGCCCCAAATCAGCACCCTAGCCCTCCTTGGATGTCAGCCTGTCTAGGAAGAGCAGGACCTTTGCAACGGACAGAAAAGCTACAGCTCTTATGCATACTTCGTGTAGCCTGGCTATAACGCTATTCCTGCTTGTACAGTGACCTTTCTTTGGAAGGATGGAGAAGATCACCATGCATGCTGGGGAAGAAGAGAATTCATATGATCTGGGATAATTATAAAAATATTCTGAAATATATGAATTACAATTTAATTAGTTAAAGTGTAAATAAATATATATATGGGCAGTCACTATTAGAAAAAAAACACAAACCAGTTTCTCTCACTTCATTAGCATAGAGTTAAGGGCAAAGGCTTTACACTTAGGTGTGAATAAACACCAGCACAAGTACAGAAGAGGTCACTTCCTGGGTAAAAGCCAGATGAATCAATTCCAAAAAGTGCTTGTACCACTAACAAAGATACAAGTATGTTGCAAAGTTAGAACTACATGATCTTTATGGTCCCTTCCAACTCAAACCATTCTTTGAAGTTAGGTGCTCACTCCTACCCTCCACTCTCCTGCCGCTGTTAATGGAAAGAGGCCTCTTTTGTGCTTGCCCTGTAGATGTGTTAACCAAACTCACCACATCTGATTCAGACTGTTGAGGCCAGGCACTTCATTTTAACGACTTAACAAGCCTGCATTAAGTACCTATTTTAGACATGCAAAATCTAGTCCTGTATGAACTGACTGTGCAGGTGCCAATCTGGAAGGAGAACAAGTGAGAGCTCCTGGTAGCAAATAAAATGTACAGCTGAGATCATAGAAATGTAAGTGTGCACTGTATGGCTTCATTTTGGTTTGAAACTGAGTGGACTCTCAGTAGATACACCTATGCAGGATGATAGGTGTATCTCAAGACTTATGGTAATATAACATACTTTATCTAAGTCACATTTGTATGCCATGTAAAAGAAATCAGGTGCATACATGTGGGCACACACATAGACCTGAGAAATTATTTTTCTCAGTGTATTTTAAAAGGCCTTCAAATGGGTGTTCTGTTTTACTACCACACAGGCTGAACTGGGGGAGGATCTCATTATAAGCTGTAGAGAGCATGTGCTAAAACATAATGGCATTCAGAATCAAAAAAATGGCCAAAAGAATATGTATAGCAATATGGTGTTATCTATTCTTCTCTTGGCAGCAGTCATAGAAAAAGTCCTTGTTAAATCAGCCATGCTATTAATTCTCAGTTTCCCTCTTTATCTTCTGCCAGTGAAAGCAAAACTGACGTATATATTTCTATAAATATTATTTTTGCATTTCTGTACCACAAAAGACATTTCGTATTTCCGTGACTTTGGTAGCAGATGCATCATGACCGTTTTTGCAAAAAATCCTCAAAATTAACGCGCTATCAGAGAAACAGAACGGTGGTGGAGGATGGACCACCAGCAGATGGCATTCATTCCCTGCAATTCCTGCAGCAGCAGCAGCAGGTACTGAACGGTGCACTGGCACCAGCACATCAGCATAGGATGTGGGAATAGGCAGGAAGCAGCTAGTTAACCCCAAGTTATTTTCCCGTCATTTGACAAAATTCTCCTTTCAAAGCATTACTGTATTTTTTCCATCATTTAAGAAAGAGCTTGTACATAAGCGCTATATAGATAGATTTGCCACATCACAGCAGCAGGATTTTATATTCACTTTATATACTCATGTAGGTACTACCCAGCACAAGCCAGTCTGTCTGGCCCAGTTTTTTTGTTATCTAATAGCAGCTTTTCATAAATAACTGATGGAAGAACCCGACCTTTCTTCCCAGTTCAATAGCACCTTTATTCTACTGCTCTTCATGTTCGTAAATAGTCTGCTAAGGTAATAAAACTATCAGTTTAAATATTTAAAATTAAAAATTTTAAAGCATTTTATGACTAGAAATATACTGTCTATGCCATTTCACATAATCAGAGTGGCTTGGGGACCTCATCTATTTCCTTCCCCCCTGCAATGGGCAGGGACAACTTCCATTAAACCAGGTTACTCAAAGCCCCATGCAACTTGGCTTTGGACACTTCCAGGGATGGGGCAGCCACAGCTTCTCTGGAAAACTTGTTCACCACCCTCACAGTAAAAAAAAAATTCTTCTTAATATCTCATCTAAATCTACCTTCTTGCAGTTTAAAGCCATTCCCCCTTGTTCTATCACTACATACCCCTCTAAGAAGTCCCCCTCTAGATTTCTTGTAGGTCTCCTTCCAATACCTTTAGGTATTGGAATATTGTTACAAGGTCTCCCTGGAGCCTTCTCTTCTCTAGGCTGAGCAAGCCCAACTCTCTCAGCCTGTCTTCACAGGAGAGGTGCTCAAGCCCTCTCATTATCACTGTGGCCTCCTTTGGACTCACTCAAACAGGTCCACATCCTTCTTATTATGTTGTTGCCTCCAGAGCTGGATGCAGTACACTAGGTTGGGTCTCACAGGACTGGAGTAGGAGGGGAGAATCACCTCCCTTGACCCGCTGGTCACACTCCTTTGATGCAGCCCAGCATACAGGTGTCTTTCTGGGCTACAGTTGCACACTGTTGCTGTTGAGCTTCTTGTCAATCAACAACCCCTCAGCTTTCTCATCAGGCCTGCTCTCAATCCATTCTCCACCCAGCCTGTATTCATGCCTGGGACTGCCCCAGCCCAGATACAGGACCTTGCACTTGGCCTTGTTGAACTTCATGAGTGTCACACTGGCTCACCTCTCAAGCATGTCAAAGTGCCCCTGGATGGCATCCCTTCTCAACAGTGTGCCAACTGCACCACACAGCTTGGTATCATTGGCAGACTTGCTGAGGGTGCACACACAGCACACTGTCCATGTTGCTGACAAAGATGTTAAGCTGTTCACCATATGTTCTATTTGGTGAATAGAAAGTAATACTGGAGTCAGTATTACTCTCTATTCGCAAAAAAATAGATGCTTTTTTCCACCAAAAAAACCCCACTTCACCCCATGAAGGGATGGACTGAGGACATCTTGCCAGTTCAGCAACACCACGTTGCTCCGCCAGCCCTGAGACCCTGATGCAGCATGTATCAGGTGTATAGGTGCTGCAATGTGGGGCTAAACATCCAGCTGCCCTGACTGCTGGCACCCTTCACCTGCAGACCTGATGAGTCTGAAAGGGAGGGGCGGTCACTGCAGTGATGCACTAGCTGTTAAGAATTATATAGGAAAAGAAAACAGAGCAGGCAAGTGGATGTACAAATATAGGCCCTTGAAGAAAAACAAAAAGAAAGAGCAATCAATCTCATTTCCATTGCAAAAATAAACAAAACTAAATGCACAATGGTATCTCATGTGGCGTTTCAGTAATGTGCTTACAGTGACATCAGAAGTAGTTATTACCTGTTCTAAGAGATTCTGAAGCCTCTCTATTTCACAGTCTATTACAAATTTCTTTTCTTGCCTTCGGTCCAGATCTTCTAAAAGCCTCCTGTAGCTGGCATCATTAAAGTTCTCCACACAGATGGCACTGACTTGCCAGCTATTTTGTCCTGCTTTTTCCATAATAGCTTGAAGTATTGAATAACCTAAAAGAAAAGGATACAATATACTAGTAACACAATCAATGCATTCTTTTGTATAGGAACTGTCCTTAATCGATATTATGTCTCTTAATATTTGTTCCTGCAGGGAAAAGAATAAGTGACTGCTTGTATCTCTACCTATGCTGCTAGCCATAATCAGCACACAGTATGCAGTTAACAATTACCATTGATGTGATCAGATTGCTTGGAAGGATTCTCAGCATTATAGATAATCTTCATATGACTTACAAACACAAACTCTTCCAGTCAAGCATTCAGCTTCTCAGACTGGTTTTGCACAGGTTTCTGTATCTGGGCAGTTCAATACAGCAAAGAAAAAATATGAGCCTACTCATTCATCATAAGTATTTGCATACTAAAAAAGCATCATGTTAGATATTCAAATGCTTTGTCTTCTTTATTATTGTTGGGTTTATTTGTTTGCTGTTTTTTTTTTTTTTAACAACATTTAATCCAAGGATTTTTTAATGCTTCTTAAAAAGAATTCATTTTTCATTTATTTATGCAATTCAGACAAGGTCCCCCTGTCTAGAGTCACAACACAAACTATTGTGGCTCTTTACTCGTTATCTGGATGAATTTTCCCTAGTAGCTTTAAATGAAAAAATTCACCTCATGAAAACTATCCTTAGTTATGAGACTACACGTAACTTCAACAAGAGGGTCCCATGCCTGAGTGCAGTTACCTCCAGCTGTCATTCTAATGCACCTGAAGATACCGCCGTGCGACAGATTCCCTGTAAAAAGCACTATCAGGCATTCCCAGAGACTGAAAGAGGACTCTTTCTAAGTTACATTTCAGGAAGTGTGCTGTTGCTAACTATCAGAAGACCTACAATACCTCATTTTGCCTTCAGTAACATAAAAGCAGACAATAGCTTTATCAGAATATGAAGATTTTAGGACACATGAGAGGAAATTTAGGAGTAGCTATTTTTCTGCTGACTCCTGTGACACCTGCAGTCCCTGAAAAATTAAGATCTGTATCTCCTTATCATTATGAAATGATATACCCGCACTCCAAAATGAACATCTATTATTTTTTCTTCAATGCAGATGACATTTAAGATAAAAATAAAAACATTTATAGAGAATATGTAAAATGCATAACATATTTTATCTTATAAATGAGACATTTATTTTATGTAACAGTTTATCTTAGGAAATGAATTAAAATGCTTGATATATTGAGTATTAAAACATTTCTGTACTCAGCATATATTTTTAACCCAATGACTGTTATTTTTTTTCAAAGAACCATACAGATTTCCTGTTAATTGCTGCATAATTATTCTGCTTTTCCTGTTGCTATATTCAATCTCCTTTTTGACTGTAATTATCTCTGCAAATCATGACAAGATTCTTTCCCAAACATCGTATTTTTTGCTTCACTTCCTATTAATTTCCATATATAGATATACATTAAAACTACTCCAGTGTTACAGGGGTTCCTACTTCATTTACACTGCAACTTTGACTTGATCTTTGCTACAAAGGCAGTCGACGTTTACTTAATTCAGCTTCCTGACATAAATTAACATTTTCTTTGATTCAGAATGAATGGTGTTTGAAACCGCAATTGACATCCCTTCATTCCTTTTGCATTTTGCTTGGACAACTTTACTAAGATGTGTTTTGATCAAACTGGGAATTTATCCCAGCATAAAGCATGACAAATATCAGACAACTAAATAGAAAAGCTTTTATTCTAGCTTGGATCAAGGTTTGACTTGCCACATTTCATTAGCAACTGCCTTCTTTTAGGCATTTGAAGCTGCTGTAAAATCTTGTCAGTAGCTGGCACTTGGATGTGGTTATTCATGTTAGCATGTCTTTCGCATATAGCATAATACAGCTAAATGGTATTAACTGGATATGGTGCAACATCTCCATAAGAAGAGTTCAGAATTCCTGTGCAAGCCGTCAGTGGCACAGTCATCTATTTAGTGTGCAAGAACAGTGTTTAATATAAGAGACTGTTAAGGGTGGAGTTTACACAGAACGAATAAAGGCATTCATAGGCTCAGTTGGCACAAAAATTAGACGTACAGAGAAGAATGCTTATTTGCTCAAAATAATTGGCTACAGCTGACAGAGGAAAACATTAGTTATACGTAGTGCAGCAAACATTTCATGAGGCAAAATTCCTGAAACTAACCTAGGGTAATTCTCAGAAACTGAGGGCAGGATATCTATTTAGACAAAATTCTTACACTTCAGAAAGATGTTGGCCCAAGACAGCAGACATAAATCTTACAGCTGTTGTCTAAATGTTATTTGTTTTCTGGTTGTCTGCTATTTATCCTCAGTCATGCTACGGACAGACGAATGATTCATTTTCTGGAATACATTCCATCCCATGTATGTTGGAATACTATTTGTTGCATAAAAGCAAACTAAAAAAAAACAACACCCCAGGCTAACTCGTATCAACTGAGATATAAAATCAATGTTTAGGACTCAGCCAATAAAAAAAAAAGAGTAAGGTAAGTTCTCACCCTTTCTCACCAACAAATTCAAACTTAAAATGCAGATAATTAACTCATCAGAAAATTCAGGAAATACAAATTATCATGCTCAAACATACCAAGTTGAAGCCTAGAAGTCTGTATCAACATGCTCCTGGTCTTACCTGGAGTGTGTTTTGTTGTTTATTTGTTTAGTTAGTTGTGATTTTGGGTTGTGTTTTCAGGTTTTTTGTTAGCAAATCTATAAGCAAGATAAAACACCAATATGACTGCCTGCAAACAGGGATTAAGTCCCTGAAGGATGCTATATGCAAGAATATTTGCAAGAATAGCTTCTTCTTCCTGTTTATGGGACTACAATTGCTCAAATGTAGATACTATTGACAACTTCTTCAGGACCAGTAGTACCAATTCCACTTCAATATACTGGAACCAAAGCAGAAACCGGCAAAATCTGAAAAGATTTTATTTTCTTTACACTTCCCTGGGTTTGCCTTCTCTTCTTGCTTTTCTGTTCTCTGGTCATGTGGAATTGTGATGCTCTAACACTACTATTATTTTACTTTTTTTAAAATTCTTTGTATTTTTTTCCCCCAAAGATACCACACTGTCACCATATTGGAAAATCAAAACAAAACAAAAACCAAAACTTGAATATAAAAATGAAAATTACTCTATTTTTCTCCTGTAAAATGAAAGCTGGAGATGTCTACTGCAGAAAGTCTACATATTTGGGTTGATACTACACCTAAATACATTACAAATAACATCTCAGATATTTTTTAACCTTCCTCCCCTCAGTCCACACTCCATGGGATTTTTTTCCATTGCAAAATGCATCAGCCACTTAAAAAACAATGCCAGATGTGCACCTGCTCTTATATCTGTTTAGAGATTTTAGTACCTCTTCAGAGAGACTTAGGTGCCTTCTGGAAGCCAAAGAGTGTAAATCACTTGAGCAATTTTGGTATTTAAGAACATGTTGTAAGTGCAGGCATTTGGAAGTCTAGGATTCTTCCTAGTCACTGCAATACTGCCGTAATTGGACCCTTTATACAATCATCCCTCACCCAAGTAATCGAAATAATGAGTAATCTTTTTGATTTTAAAAGTTCAGTGGCCTTTCACTTTTTTTATTTATCCTCTGCTATACCAGCCACGCTTGCCCCTATCCAATTTTGTTTCAGCAGTCAATGACTTAATTTCATTTATTTCCATTTAAATGAAAACTAAAATCTGATATCCAAATCTCTTCAGTGTGTTCAGAACAAACTAAAGAGATAGAGGAGCATTTTCTTGACTTATTTTTCAGCTGGAATGCACATGGTTGGCTTGTTTCCTTTCTTTTCCTTTTATTTTTACTTTTTTTGCTCTTGCTTGCTTGTTTGCTTTCACTGGAAATATTAAAGTGATCAATTACAGCCTTGTAATTAAATATCAGTTACTTTCATCTTCCAGCAGTCTTTTCACTCTGGAAAATAATTTTCCCCACTCCTCTAAGCACAAGCAATCATTCCTGACGTTCTTGCTAGGAGACAGATAGCAAAGCGACTGCTTGCTCCAAACAGCAGCACTCCCAGTAGTAATTCCTGTTTTGGAACCATTGTGCGGGAATTAACTTATTATTAATTTTCTATGATGAAAAGGATGCAACTGTATTTTACTGAAATGCAATTTTTTCTCTTCTCTTATGGCGCAATTAACCTTCAAATAGGAATTGATCCCATTCCCAAGAATAGCTATGATCCCAGCAGTCACAGACACTGAAACGGTGGAGCTATTTTCTTCAATCTACTTCTATCTATTGGAATTCATACTGGGATCAGTACATGAAATAAATTCATTGTAGATCTAACACACAGCAGACGTGAAGAATAAACAAATCATTTGGTATGGATAAATTTGACATTCACCACTGGATTAACGTTACTTAACTCTAGCTGTCTGTAAAGTAGTTGTCTAAGTTAATCGTCCAAACTTTAAAAGGAGAGACATACATCCCATAAAATGGCATTTTTTTTGTCTTAGATATCTATCTCAGAGGTGCTTTTCTCTTTCTCCAATGAATACTGAAGGAGTCTAGACATGAGGCTTAGTAAAAATATCTACTATTTATCTAGCCAAATCTTGGCAAGATGAATCCAGACACTACAGTGATCATAAACATACAAGAAAGTTATAGGATGAGTGATGCATGATTTTGCCTTCAGCCAATAACTAAAACCACTCAAACTCAAGTATATTTTACCTTTCCTCATGATTAATACATTTTTAATTAATATCCGCTTTTGTTTCAAATTTTTTAAGAGCTTCAAGAATTCAAACACAACCAATAAGATTTATAAGCTCCACTGTATAACCTTTGACATATGATAACTCATTCACATGCCTGATTTTCCCTGCATTTGGAGATGGACCCAGAATATTCAACAGAAAGCACATACAAACAGGGCAATTTAGACAACAGAATGGAAGCTAGAACTATAGCTGTGTTCTGAGTCCTACTTGGGTCTA